TGCTGGGCCACCGCACGGAGCGTTCGAGTTTTCGCCTAACGAAAAACTTCGTCGGATGTGGGGAACTGAACCCGTCCGGTGGTTGCCCATTCCGTAGAACTACGACGGATGGCCCGAGAGCGTAGAGGAGGAGAAAGAAAAGAAAGATGAAATAATTGAGACACAGGAAGAAGGATTGAGACAAACATTTTTACATACGAGCATGCTCATACATACAAACATGCCTCACACAACTGTGATTTTACACACAGATTCTTTACCGCGCCAACACTTTTACACACAATCGCTGTTACGCACAAACACTGTTACACACAAACACTTTTACACACGGACGCCTTTACACAAACGCTTTTACACACAGAAGCTTTTAAACACAAGCACTTTACACACAAGCACTCGTACACATTCACACACAGACGCTCATACATACAGAAGCTTTTGCACACAGATGCTTTGCACACAGAAGTTTTTACACACAGATGCCTTAACACACAGACGCTTTTACACACAGAAGCTTTTACACTCAGACGCTTTTAACACACAGACGCCTTTACACCAGAAGCTTTTACACAGAGAGAGCGAGAGAGAAGGAGAGAGAGTGAAGATGAGAAGATGTGATGAAAATGTAAACATATGAAGATGTATGGCAGACCTCCACTATTAGAAGAAGAACTCGTCCCTCAGACGCTCTCGGGAAAAATGCCAAAAAATACTGTATGATAAGAATATAATATAGTCATAATATAGTCACAATATAGTCATATAATATATATATATATATACACCATCGATTAAGGTTTCGGCTTCTGCAGGGTTTTGGACTCCTTTAAGGGTCCCCTGACTGCGGCTCATTACCTGAGAGGGATTTCGGTGCCTTTTCCCTCGGGCTCAGCGACTGCGAGCCTTCTTTCCATTGGCACTTCGTACCGTGCTCTGCAAGTCTGGCCCACTTGCATCACCTTGTTCTGGCTGGCCACGCGATCTACGTCCTTGAGCTCGGGCTGTGGAGCTACCAGTTTGCCTTTGACCCGGTGTTTGTGTATGTACTCGGCCTTGAAGGTCTTCGTGCTCACCATTTTGATTCGGGCGAAGGTGAATCTGGATTTTGCAGTGGCCTCTGACTTGGAGCGGGACGGCTTCTCCTACGGTGCGGCGGGCAGAAAGGAGGCAAAGGGCGAGAGCAAGGCTAAGGTGGTTTCTCCATCGCACCGGCAAGCTCCGTCTCAGTGCCACCCAGCTGCTTTTGATTTATCATACGCTACGAAGGCACCATTCAAAGGATTTGCAGTTTCTTCAACGACTACTCGCAGCCCACCAAGACGCAATGGCGCAAAAGCAGCCTTCTTGGCGTTGTGCGCGGTGCCATGTCATTATGAAGGGCTCTTTTCCGAGATGCTGGAAGTGTGGTCAGGAGTGGCAGTCATGTGCGGACTCGACCTTTGTCCCACCAGACCACCATGGGCAACAGAAAGCCTACAACCAGCAGTCAGGCCAGCCACCACCTTGGAATGGTGCCACCTGGCAGGACACTGGCAGCAGGAGCCCCCGCACGCGATCCAGAAAGAAGAAGAGTGGCAAGAACTATCAGAACGATCAGTGGCATGGAGATGTTTACAACCAGCAGAAGGGGTATGGCAAAGGATACGACCAGATGGCGCACATGCAAGGGCCGATGATGCCAATGCAACCTATGCTGCCAATGGCAATGCCTTTCCCACCTCAACAACAAGTTATGGCTCCGCCTCCATCTTCGCAGATGGCGGACAAGGGCACTGGCAAAGGTTATCCTTCTCAGCCTGCCGCCATGCAGATACCTCCTCCACCGACGACATCCATCTCTGGCCCACCTGGGCACTGGGCGCCTACCATGCAGATGATGCCAGTCCCTGCTATCCCCATCAACACTGGAGTTACAGAGGACTCTGTGGAAGAGCAGAAGAAGGAGAGCAAAGCCCAAAACAATCTCAATCGCCTGCTGAAACAAATGAAGAAAGACGAGAGCACGCTCTCTTCGGACTTGCAGAAGATGGCGCACACCATGCAGAAGCAGGACGAGCGGGACAATACCAAGGAGCTTGGTGTAGCCGTGAAGGTCCTGGGGCAAGCCAAAGAAGATCTACTGGAGGCAGAAAACGCCAAAGCGCAGCTCCTCTCCCAGTGGAAAACCTTCTTGCAACAATCGGTGGTCAAGTGGAGAGAATTCTCTGCTCAATTCCATGCCTCCGAGTCAGCCCATCAGGCCAGCATTCTAGCGGCACGCCTGAATGTGAGAAGAGCGCAAAGGCGTTTCGATCTTGCATCCAAAAGGGAGCAGGCCGAGGCAGGAGAGGCCATCCAAGTGTCAGACGACGAGGAGGATGGCGATCTCATGGACGATGCTGCAGCAGACCAACAGGATACTGGTGCGCAACGCATCCACGACGGCATGAACACGATAGTGAGCAGCCTTGTGGAGCTTTCAGCATCAGCAGATTTGCTGGAGCAGCGTGTCAAACGACCACGCACAGACAAAGAAGACCACTCTGGCGAGAATGCGCCTGGTGCGTCTTTTCATTAGGCCGGTGCGACATGACTGCATTGTATGCGCACCAGTGGCCGATGCCACATGACGGACCACCAGCGATGATCAATCCTCTCGCTGCACGGCTACACTGGTCCCACTCAATCATCTATGAAAGAGATTTCCTCTCAGAATGGCAGGCAATAGAACGAGCAGGCGATTTAGCGGCTGATTTGGGTTTTTCAGCTGAGCTTCGAATCGACAGCATCGTCCTTCCCCTGCGCAACAAGCTCAGTGTCAACAAGGTCTCATTTCATCCCTTGGTGCACGTATTCCTTGGATTGGACGATGACTCCGACTTTCCTGAGATTCAAGTTCACCATGATTCTCTGGCTGGATGGAAAGATAAACCTTGGCACCTCCGACCTTCTCATGATGAGGATGATTTCTTTTCCTTGATGGCAAGGCGACCTGGTCCACGACGTACAGATTCAAGCACCATGGTGACCTCTGCCTCATCGACAAGTTCTGCCTTGAGTTTGACGCCCTCCTCACCGAGAGTGATGTGGCAACAGACAGTTTTGATACTCTTAGATGGCCAGATGTTCCCGGCTCGGCTGTCTCAAGATGCTGCAGAACCTCTCATAGCCCAAATTGCGCGAGCCCTCGGCATTGGTTCAGACGAAGTTCTGGCTTTGCACAGCGTGCCAGCGCGCCCTGATGACCTCATCACACAAAATCTGCAATGCATACTGCTTCAGAGGAATTTTGAACCTCGCCCGTCTGACTTTCTCAGACTCCTGCTCATTGACTTGGAGATCTATGAGCAGAATGACATCCTCCCAGGGGCCTTCAGAAGATTTTCCAAATGGTTACCCATGACCATCAATCGGCGATCGATTTTTCGCATGTTGGATCTGGAGCCACTTTTGGACGCCCATGGAGAAAGATGCAGATTGTGGTACAACAACAACATCATTGCGAGTGATTTCAATGAACCACTGCATTTGAGCGACGGTGACTATCTACGTGTCTACATTGGAGATCTGCAGGAAGAGACCCTGTGCAGTAGCAATACTGAAGAGAGCACTGACTTCTTCGTGGAATTGCAGCTGCCCAAGTCTCTCCAGCCAGCCCTACCTGTTGATGCTGATCCTCTCCTCTTCGAGAACTTCGACCATGCCAGTGCCTGCTGGACTGGCCGACCTAACACTGCCAGCATTGATGAGGATTATGATCCAGGACAAGGAGATGGACACGATCGTCAAGGTCCTGACCGCCATGCCTTTGACAGACCGCCAGGTATTGATCAACCACAATGGATCCATGATACATGGGACTATCTCACTGTCCATGGAGCCACTGAATTTGCTGAGGAGGGACCTATCATGTATTTCAGGTCACATTATCTTTCACCCAGGCATCATCGAAGCAACCGAGTGTCTCGTCCTTTGCGATTTGACACTGATTTTGAAACTTGGGAAGCTGATGTTCGCTTTATGTGGGAAGATCACATGGACCTGACAGCCTTCCACATGATTTTTGTTGCCCCAGAGCCGATTGCCTCGCCTGGACAAGGAACAGTCGCCACTGTCCTTATTGTGCAACATGCCACGCAGGCACAAATAGCTTGCTTATTGTCATATCATGAGGGCCCGGACGTGCACGCACAACAAGAGATTGCACTCATCACTGACAGACAAGTGGCTCATGATAGTCTTCTTCGACAGGCAGGTCTTGCTCATCTTTGTGGTTTTCATGATCCCATTGGGCACCTTCCATGTGAGATTCTTGTTGGCAGCGTTATCCAGCACCGTGACCATCTACTTCTCTTGCATGATGGCATTGGCCTACGGGTACGCAAGCCTCATAGAACTCACTCCACTCTGATTGAGCATGTGCAACAACGCCAAAGTGCTGAAGACCATGATGATGACCATGATGATCTCCAACTCTGGGTCAACCATTGGCATTTACACAAGCCATTGCATTCCTCCTCAATCGAGAATTCCTTGGGCTGTGAAGTGCAAAAGTTGGATTCATGTTTGATTGAATCGTGGCGTTTATTGGAACAGGAAGAGTCTGTCCCTGTCCTTGAACCCATTTTGATTCCTGAAGATCAACCCGCTCATGAACCACCAACGGATCGCTTTCCTGATGCGCGAGAAGATTTGGAGAATGCATGGAGACGAGCTGCTGCCGCATCCCCCTGCACCGAAACAGCAGATGGTGTCCCTGTGATCAAATTTGTCACCTGGTTTGTGAACAGTGATTCCTGGACTCGATGCGATGCCTACAGAACTGTGGCATTACCTGAAGATGTCGAAACTTGGGAAGAGATTCTCAAACATGCATGGGCTGATCGGGCTTCCCGTGATTCACCAGCACAGATTGCCCTTGTTTATCCATCTGTCAATTCAGAACCCTGATGGTGGACATTTGATCATTCATCAGCACCTGGCACCCAGTGAGAGATGCACACTGATCAGTGTTTTGTGGCATGATCAAGGAAGTGAGCTCTGGAATCGCTTTGCCAGAGTTGTTCCGCACTGGCTCTCATTTCAGCGCTTCCTCCAGTTCGCCGACCTATTGGATGCTTGCCGTCGACGACTCTTTCTCTGCGTGGGATTCTCTGGTAGCCACTCTATTGAAGAGGATCGTCCTCTCTTTCCAAGGCATGGCTCCCACATCGAAATCCATGTTGCTGAATGGCAAGTTGCTGATGACACGAGCCTCATGCAACAACCAGGAGTCCTGCCAGATATTGCCAATGAACATCCTGCGGCAACACCTCAAGATCAGGTCTGTGCTGCCACCATCCTGAATATGCTAACGCTCAGATTTTCGTCCCTGGACAACCCTGGGGCATTGGCTCCATGCCGGAATTTGTCCAGGACCTACATGCGATCTGGAGTGCTGATGCATTTGCATGGGAAGATGAAGAACCGTCTGGTGTGGCACTGGTTTTGGTTCGTTGATCATCATTGGCCGTTACCTCATGGCAGAGTTGCCCGAGCAGTACGGCTCTATGGAGATTTCCATACTTGGCAAGATCGTCTTCGGCATGCGTGGGCTGACCATCTGGTGGAGGGTGCTCCTCTTGAATTTCATCTTGTGAGCCCGCGACCTCCTACACATGAAGCCATGATCATTGCGCATGTGATTCTGATTCAACATCCCAACGACTTCTGGGTCACCAACATCGTAACTCGACGTGATGGCAGAGAACATCATTCACGCATCACCCAGCTTGCGATTACGACCCATGAGCACATCCTCCTGGACAACCTACTCCGGGTCTTTGGTATCCATGATGAATGCTTGGGTCAACGAGCTCGACTACAATGCACGGGTTGGTGTGACTCCACTGCCCTCCAGCCTGGAAGGCCGTTTCCTGGCAGATCTGGCCATAGCATCATGTTGAGAACCCAACCCAGGCAACAACCAAGGCCCACAGAAACTGCAGCCAACCGCTCCACCAGAGCTCCAGTTTTGCTCCAACTGGCGAGCTTGGTGAAGTTTGGTGATATTGAAGAACTACAAGAAGATGGTGAAGCGGACCAACCTCTGACCCAAGGAGGGCCTACGGTGGCTTTGCGTCTACGCTCTGGCTGCAGTTCTCTTCAAGTTCCTACCTTCATTGAATGCCATGCCCCAGGAACTGAGGAGGATATACGGAATGAACTCCTGCTTTTTGGTTTGCGATGCATGGTTTTCAAATTTGGTCTGCATGAAGAGGCCCTTTGTCTTCCGGATGGGTGGGCTGCTGAAGAAGGACAGTTCCACTACATGCTTTGCCATGATGATCCTCTGGATTTACAGGGAACGATCCTACATACAGCGTCACAGCCACTAGATGACTTGGCACTCATGCAGGTTCTTCACCAAATGGGCTACTGCCGTGCTGCAGTACTAGACACGACGGCGTTGCTTCCACAACTCACCAGAATCACTTTCATTGATGTTGTTCAACAAGCAGCTGCAATTGACCACCAGTGTAAGACACCGCCTCCATGGCCCAAGAAATTGATGTCTGGAAGACACAACACCGCGATCTTCCTGGGTGAGTCTGCTGAAACCCAACAGAATGATTTTCTCCTCATGCTGGGGCTCTCCATCGAAGACTTGCATGCCTTCTTCACATCGGGGGATGCCATACTATGTCGAGACCCCACTGGGTATGAGTTTCCAGAGACCACTCAACAGGTCATGCAGATCAGCGACACCACTGACTTGGCGCAGTTTGATCGCATCATTATCTACACTGAATCTACACTGATGGGTCTTCCATTCCAACCCACAGACATCGGCCTGCTGAATGGCATGAAGAGAAGGGGCTAGCAGACACATGGGCCTTTGTGGTGATTGGGGAGAGTTACTATGACAATGAGGTGCGCATCGAGATCATTGGTTGGCTCACACATCCTGTGAGATACGAAGCCTCATGCTCCTCCTTTCTGGGCTCAACCTATGTTGGATCCCTGGGTGCGGAACGTGAAGCAATGACATGGGCCGCCCTTTGGCGGCTCTCGCAAAACATCAACACTCCCACTCTGTTCAGGTCAGATTCATGGACCACAGTGATGCAAGCACAAGGACTTGTGGGCACAGCTGCCGTTGATGGTGCTTTCACCGCTCTAAGCAGCAGCTTTCAAGCTCTTGAAGCAGCACTACAAGAACGTTTGGAGGTGGCTCATATTCCTGGACATTGTGGTGATCCTTACAACGACTTGGCAGATTGGCTGGTGAAATCTGAAAGGGCTCGTAGCTTTTACTACAAACGTCAAGCTATCTCCATGAGCACATGGCGACCTTTTTTGCCATACTTTTGGATGATTTTCAGCCAATCAGATGGACTGCCTCAATGGAATGCTGCAGGTTTTCATGTTCCTCCGCCTGAACTGCCATTGGCTTCTGAAGGTCTATTGACCTCAGACAAGATGACCTCGAGCAACACCATGATTGCACAGATCCATCTCAGCCTTGCCAGTGCCAACATTGGCTCCATGTACAATGGTGAGTTTGGCCATGCAGGCAAGCTTGATTACCTGCGAACACAGTTTCAGAAATTGGGTCTCAATTTCCTCGGCATCCAGGAAGCTAGGACACCATCCCTCTCATCAAAGACCCAGCAGGTCAGCAGGTCCTCCGTTTTGCTGGAGGTGCACAAGATGGTTGCCTGGGGATTGAATTTTGGGTCAACCTTGAACAACCGTATGCAGAGACTTCACTTGGTCCTGCTTACTTCGCTCCTCAGCACTTTGTTGTGGTCTACCATGATCCGCGCTGTATGCTCATTGATGTGACCACCGAGTGGATTGATTGCTGGATTGTTGTTGGCCATGCCCCACAGAGTGGTACCCCTCTTTCTGAAAGGGCCAAATGGTGGGAACATCTCTCCGAGGTCATTGCGGTTTGCCCTTCAGATGCAAGACTCTTTGCACTTCTGGATGCAAATGCGAGCCCTGGACCTGCTGATCAGATCACTGTATTCAGCACACTAGGAGGGGAATCGTCTGGCACTCCATTGTTGCGGAACTTCCTTGTGGACCACGCTATGTGTCTGCCGTGCACATCACCATGCCATGTTGGTCGCCATGACACCTGGACCACCCCGGATGGCTTGAAAGAACACATCATTGATTATATTGTGATTCCTCAAGCATGCCTGCGGGAGTGCTCCCTTAGTCGTGTCGTGGATGAATTTGACCTCGGCAACAGTCACTTTGATCATTTAGCAGTCGCACTACAGATGCATTGGCAAGAGCAAGGACACCCTGAAAACCATCTTAAGACACGACTCCCCGGCAAGATTGACATCCAGAACCTACAGGAAAGGCATGTCAGGAATGCCCTCCATGACTATGAGGTTCTTCCTTGGAAGGCCGACGTTGATGCGCAAGTTCATCACTTCAACAACCACCTTCTTGGAGAATTGCGCTCACAATGTCCAGCCAAGCCAAGTCAGCCCAAGAAGCCCTGCATTGATGATGCCACCTGGAACTTTCGTATGCAGAAGCTCATCGCTCGACGTGGACTCCGTCAAATTTCCAATCGTCATCGACAAGAACTTCTACGGTTTTGCTTCAAGGCTTGGTTCCAACCGCACGAGGCAAACCATAAGCAGTTCTGGCACTATCGTCAGTGGCTTTATTGTGTCAACGTGAAGATTCTTGCCCGACACCAAATTGCTGCCAGACAACTCAAGGGTCGCTTGAAAGCCCGAAAGACGGATCATCTTAAAAAGGTCTTTGAGACCCTGCACCCTGATGCTCCAGCCTCAGCAGTTTTGCATGAGCTCAAGAAGGTGATTGGCTCGACGAACCTCAAGCAGGTCAAACAGCAGACACTGCCTATGATTCGAGATCAACATGGCCACGTATGTACCACGCCTGATCAGGCCGTGGATGCGTGGATTCATTTCTTCCGAAATATGGAAGGAGGTCGAAGAATTCAAGTTCCTGAACAACGTCGTGTCTGGATCCAGAATCTTCGTGCCTTTCGAGCTGACTCCCTGAATATTGATGTCAAGGAGGTCCAATCATCGCTCGCAAGACGTATAGCCAATTGCTGAAGCTCTACACACATGGCCAGGAAAGTCTTCTCCACAAGGGAGGGAGGCTTCAACCTATCTGGAAGCAGAAGGGACCTCGTGATTGCTGTTCAGCCTACAGGAGTGTGCTCATTTCGTCCCATGTGGGCAAATCATTACATCGCTGCTTACGGCTACATTCTGCTGATGCCTTCGAGCACTATTTGCAGACCCAACAGACAGGAGGCAAACGTGGCATTTCCGTGACTCTTGGAGTTCATCAAGCTCGGGCGTATTTGCGCTCCAGGCTCCAGCAAGGGAAGAGCACGGGATTATTGTTCCTTGACCTCACCGAAGCTTTCTATCGCGTTGTGCGTGAGCTCGCTTTGGGAGGGCCCCCCAGCGACGAAGCAATCGCTGCTGTAGGCGCTCGTCTTCAGCTTGACACTGATCTTCTTCACGCTTTGCACGAGCATCTGAATGATAGATCTGCGGTTGAGCGGGCAGGTCTTTCACCCCAGCTTCGGAAAGTCCTATGCGCCTTGCACACGGACACGCATTTTCATGTGGGTGCACAACAAGATGCCTGCCGCACTTCCTTAGGGACGAGACCTGGAGACTGCTTTGCAGACATTGTTTTCTCCTTTCTCTGGGCTCGCTTATTGCATCGCCTTGAGGCTGAAATGCAACGATTGCAGGTCCTGGACAGGGTTCCCTATGCGGAGGGCCTTCGACATCCTCTTTGCGGTGAGCCCTCCCTGGAAGAGCAATCCTTTTTGGGGCCAACTTGGATGAATGACACATGTGTGACCTTTTCCCAACCATCGCCTGCTGCCCTGGAGCGTGCAGCTGGACAGATTGGTGGCCTGCTTCTAGGCATGTGTGAAGAGTTTGCCATGACGCCAAATTTAAGCAAAGGGAAAACCGAGCTGATGTTGGTTTTTCAGGGACGTGGCGCAAATCAAGCCAAGATTCGTCACTTTGGTCCCACGGCGTCAGGCACCTTCCCTATTGTCACTGAGGGAGGTGTGCATCACATCAACATTGTGGCATCCTATGTTCATCTTGGCTGCACGATTCATCATCGGGGAGACTTGCGACGTGAAGTTCGCCGCCGCATGAGCATAGCACATGCTGCTTTCAACCGTCATCGTCGCCTTCTTTTTCAAAATCGTGGATTGAGCATTGGAAGAAGGAAGGAATTGTTTAGGACGCTGATCCTCAGCAAACTCCTTTATGGAGCAGAATCCTGGACCCTTCGAGATGGACGTGACAAACATTATTTGCACAGTTCATTGATGCGGCTGTATGGACGCTTGCTTCCTTTTCAAGATGATCCTCCCCGCAGTGATGCTGACATTTTGGCCGAGACTGGCCTACCAGAACCGTCGACCTTGCTGCGGCTTTGTCGGCTGCGCCATCTTGGTCAACTCTATGCGTGTGGAACAACCACGTCGTGGGGCCTCTTCAATGAAGACACCGAGTGGCATACACTCATTTGGAGTGACCTCCAATGGATGTGGACGCAATTGAAGCATTCGTCCACCCTTCCGGACCCACTTCAAGGTTTTCAACAATGGGAATATTTGATGCGTTTCCACCGAACCTTCTGGAAAAGGCTGGTCAAAAGAGCAGGAGAACATGCAAGCGGCCAGTTGCACAACACGCACCTTGTCGCAGACTTCCATGCGGAATTCTGCAAAGTTTTGCATGATCATGGTCGGCTTCATGGAGGACCTCCACATGCTGAACCTGCGGAAGGCAATCCCATTTATGCATGTATGAAGTGCGAGCGATGTTTCAACAGCAAAGGAGGCTGTGGCGCCCACCTTTTCCGAGCACATGGCAAGGTCAATCCAGTCAGACGCTTATTTGCCACCTCGCAGTGCGGAGCCTGTATGACTGAGTATCATACCTTTGCGAAGCTGAAAACCCACCTTCTTCATGCTTCAGCCTGCCGACACCTCCTGCAAGCGCAGCGCTACAGATGGGAACCCGCACCTGGAGCGGGCTCTCAAGTTAACGCTCGTCTTGAAGAACGACATGATGGACTACTCCCTCCTCTACGTGTTCACGGTCCTCTTCCAGCACCGCTTCAGGGACGAGCAGATGAAGACTATGACCTTGACTTGCTGGAGACCATCTTCCTGGAGATCCTTGATGCTCACACCATTGAAGACTGTGAACTTATGATCCGCAACCTGGCCAAAGACAGGGCTATGTCTTGGCTTACTTGGCAAGCCACTTTGGACCGCTTTCTGGAAATCTTCACAGAGGAAGATGCTGCAGTGTTGCATGTGACAGGGGCTAACCTTCGAGCACTCCTTCAACGACTGCGGACTCCATTGGCATGGGATTTCCTTGCTCCACACAGGCCTTCTAGGAAGTCTGTGTGGCAGCAGAACATGGACGTTTTGGAACAGTTTTGCCGGGCGGAGATCGAAGAGCAACACAACTGTCCGGCAGTCGTGTCGCCCTGCCGTGGTTTCAGCAGAGACCGCTACATTCTGCATCTTTTTGCAGGGCGTCGGCGACAAGGTGACTTCCAATTCTATGTCGATGGGTTGCGGCACCTTCATGGGGATTTTAACATCCAGGTCATTTCCGTGGATATTGTCATCGACCCGAACTGGGGAGATCTCGCCAAGGAGAAAGTCAGGCGATTTTGGATCGATGCCATTCTTGCCAGACAAGTTGTCGCCCTATTGGGCGGCCCGCCCTGTGAAACTTGGTCGAGAGCACGAGGCCGCCCCATTGAGAAGATGAGCGTCCCCGACCCACACCAGCGACATGGACCTCGTGTCGTTAGGAGGTTGGAAGAAACCTGGGGACTGAGTTCTTTGTCCTTGAAAGAACTCCAGCAAATCACGGTTGGCAACCTACTCATGGGCTTCCAACTGGTTGCAATGGCCGCTTTGGCATGCGTGGGGGGAGTTGCAGCAGTGGAACATCCTGCCGAACCTCCCGAAGAAGATGCAGCTTCGATATGGCGAACGCCGATCATGCAGCTGTTGCTCGCACTGCCTGAGTGTGAATCTTTTTCCCTGGCACAAGGCCTTTGGGGTGCCCAATCGTCGAAACCGACGACATTGGGAGTACTCAACGCGCCACAGCTCAAACTGGAGCTGCACAAAGGCCGTATCACCAAAGAGGTACCAAGGGGTATCTCCATTGGCAAGGACGCTTCTGGCCAGTGGGCTACGGCCCGACTCAAAGAATATCCCCCAGCTCTGTGTCTTTCACTGGCCAGGGGTTTCCTTTTTGCCATTCGCGACTTGCCAATTGACCCAGAGTGCCAGGTCTCCCTGCAACATCAAGACATTTTTGGCCCCCTTGTCTGCACGACATATGGCAAGACCTTCGGGCCTGATTTTGCAGGTTGAGTGTTTTTCAGGGTCCCATCTTTTTCAGCTGGCAAGACACCATCAGAATTCAAGAGACTAGCAATGACCGCGGCGGATTTCGCTTCTATGTGTCCATGCCAAAAAAACACCATCGATTTATAAATCGTTCACATACTTTTAAAGGTACAATCCCACTAAAATGAGGCAGGCCTAATCTGATATGCACCCAAACTGACCATCACTGACAGATCATCGGCCAAAATCATCACCAAAAAACTATCGCCATAGGAAAATATCACCGACAACACTACCAAGAAAATCACCAATACCCTCCGGTATTCAGTAGTAGCAATGGAAAATCCCCTATAAATGGAGGTTTTAATGGGAAAATCAGCTAGAAATGGGGTATCGCCAATTGCCACATTTGATCATCAGATGGTAATCTCTTCATGTTCAAACAGAATCACTAAAAACGATTCACCAGTAGAAACACCAAAATATCTATCCCTCCCAAAGAATAGACCCAGCACAGCAAAAAGAAAAAAAAATCCCCTGAATAAGATAGACCCTGACGTGAGTTGGGGGGTTGGAAGACTACCCTCTGGTAAACATACAAAAAGCTATTGAAAATGGCCATAGAAATAGTGGATTTACCCATTGAAAATGGTGATTTTCCATAGTTATGTTAGTTTACCAGAGGGTACTTCCATCTAAAAATTGGTTTTTCTTAGGGTCTATGTCGATTGAGACGAATCGTATGGGTTACTATCCTGTTGCTTCACAAGCCATACCATGTTGCTTCACAAACTAGTTGATATCCCAAAAAAACAGCGTTCAATTTGGCCTCTGTCGTTTCATTTTTTCAATCCCGGTTGGTTCATAGATCTGGGTAAATGAAATAATAATTCACTAGCCTGAATAGTTGGGCTATAAAAGGGGATGATTTCCCGCAATCTAACCATGATTTACCCAGATAGATGTATCATCAGCCATTATGTATCAGTAAAAAATATATATATATATGTCCCATTATGGTTGATGCTTAAAACCATTGAAAACCGAAAAAAAAAAAAAAAACACATCTAAAATGATGGTATAAATGAATGAGGATATAGATTACCCGTCTTGATGGTGAAAAAAACCTACTTAAATATGCCTCACCCTCCGGTAAACTAAGATAGCTGTCGAAAATCATCAGGTTTTTTTCGGTAAATCAATGAACTAAACAACCATTTTCAATATATTGATCATCATTTATCAGTTATATCCGATGGTTACCCTCTGGTAAACTAACATAACTATAGAAAATCACCATTTTTACTGGGAAAACTCACTCTAAATGGCCATGTTCAATAGCTATGTTAAATTACCAGAGGGTATATCCAATGGTTAAAACCCTACTTAACCACAGCCTTCAATCATCCCCCGAACCAACGGGGGATAGCGTCCACCATGGCTGCCTCTGTCTGTGCGCGTCCACCAAGGTGGCAACTCCACCGGAGGACTGCGGCGTGGATATCATCAGGTGAGAATTATCATCAGGTACCATATCCATTGGTTAATAATGGTTAGTATAATATACTATTAACCAATGGATCTATACTAATCTATATGATCCTGATAATTATATTAATAATAATGGTCCTATATTATACGTTCATAATGGTTAATAGTGGTTAATAGTGGTTAATAGTGGTTAATAGTGGTTAGTATATGATAATTATTAATGAATAATGGTGAATACATTATTATACTAATACATTGTGAATACATTATTATCCATTGGTTAATAGTGGTTCATAATGGTTAGTATATGATAATTATAGAACGTATATGAACATATCAGGTTAGTATACGATAACTATAGAACATCTCATATAAATTTTCCTATAATGATTAGTATCATATCCATGTTTATAGTGGTTAGTATATGATCAGAATTGATTTCATATCTAACTTCATTGAGTTCTTAGTTGATATTCCAGTTTTGTTGAGAACATAGTGCACCAAGTTCAGTGCGTCAACTTCGCAAACTCGAGCACCGGGGGCCAAAAATCTTTTAGCAAAAGAGTGGTTCATGTATCTTGATATCAATAGATATCTATTAATAGATATTAACCACCATTAATGGATATTAACCATCACTATTCATAGATATTAACCATTAATATCCATTCATGGTGGTTAATATCTATTTTCATAATGATTCATACTGGAATCAACATGGATTACCCTCCAGAAATTCACCAGTTTGTCATGGAAAATGGCCCGAAAAAAAACGTTCGATGATATACCGATTGAACATTGTCTCGATCGACCCGAGCAAACTGTTAAATTACCCAAGGGTAATCCATATTGATCCCATTTATTAATTACTGCTTGGTGGTGTCAACCCCTCTGAAAAATGATGGACAACTCGTCAGTTGGGATGACATTCCATTCCCAACTTTTTCTGGAAAGTCATAGTCCAGTCATGTTCCAAACCACCAACCAGATTATTATCTATTGCCACCATAAACATGTTTACTATTAATCCATATTACTATCTATTACATTCTATTACCACCATAAACATGTTTACTATTAATCCACTAGTAATCCATATTACGATCTATTACCATCCATTTATTAATTTCTATCTATTACTATCTATTCACAGCCACTCTTTTAACAGCGGATGAGACATTCGCTGTAGCCAGAACCGGAAATTTGGATCAACGACCGGCGTGAAATGCGTCGATGCTGCACGGTCGGTGGCAAGGCTAGTGAGAAATACCTGTCCATGATCTCCTGTGATATTGGTGATGAATTCCATCATTCCATAGTCTATCATTACAGTTTGGTGATGAATTAGCAGCCACATACGGATAGTGATTGTAATCTATGTCTTCAAGTGTCTCCACTCTGAAGCATCAACAAAAGACCCACTTTTCTCCCATCTCATCCCAATGAACCATGGTGGCCGTGGTGATAGGGTCCTATGGGGTGAAACTCACCTTGTTAGTTGATAGTTTCACCATGGTGAAAACTCCTATAACTAGTTGAGTGATAGGACGCTTTCCCATTCCTATGGGACCAGGATTGCGCTTCCCATATAGCACCAAGCTGGGCAGCCAGACACGACGAAGTTGTATGGCCTGAGGCAACTGAGGAACGACCGGGCTGTGATGACTGGGATATCTTGTCCCTTCGAAGTATCTGGATATATATATATATATATTGGATCCATAGGGATACCCTCTGGTAAACATACGAAAAACTATGGAAAATCACCATTGCTCATGGGAAAACTCATTATTTCGACTGGGCCATTTTCAGTAGCTTTTTGTATGTTTACCAGAGGGATAGAGAATGTCATCGATACATTCTCTATACTGCATAAGTGTGGTTTTTTATTTTATGCTTCACCATATCCAAGAAATCGGATCCAAGAACTGCCACCAGCGCTAATCGAAATCAGATCCTGGTTGACGCTCCAGACGCAGCGTTACGCGAAGTTGAAGCCCCATTGGTTGATGATTATTGGAATAACCAGTTGTACTATTGTGTATTAATAGTACTAATGTGTATTATTGGGTGTATTAGTAAGCATATTATCAATATACCCATTATATTAATGGTACTAATACTATTCTGCTTGGTGGTTGAGCCACCTACCCCTCTGAAAAATGATGGAGTTCGTCAGTTGGGATGATGATTCCCAACTGAATGGGAAAATAAAAAATGTTCCAAACCACCAACCACTACTTGGCTTTGTCTGAAAATCAGGGTACAATACTATAATAACCCAAAATGATCCAAAACTCTTCCAACATAGAGAAGCCAATGGTTCTTGAACATCATGTTCCCTATTATTATGTGATTGCCATAAATGGTATACCCGAAAAACACAGCTCCAGCCTTATTGCACCACCTTTCTGCATTGACAATGACCGCAATGACGCACCATTGTTATCAGCTATAATCCATAAAAATGGGGGGTCCATAAATCGATGATTTAGTGGTACCTCCCATTTTAGGAAACCCCCAAACGTGTGCTTGGGTATGGAACCAACCACGACGAGATATTCAACACCCACACTTTCAGGAACTTAAATTACTGTGAACATCATAACAACTGTCAACAAGAACCATCACTCTACCACCATAACGGATTTATGTATATCCAACAACTCTAAACTTCTAGATCACAAGTTCCCATCGCCATCCACTTTTCATACCTCTACACGGCATCCCATTGTTTCACAATTTCTCTATTGATCTATCTACTTATCAATCTATCTATCCTGCTTCTCTAGTTTTCCATTTACAGTATGCCCCAATGTCCCAATCTCTTCGTATATCTATTTCTAAATGTATCTCATTTTGGTATGTCCCAAATTTCGAAAATGGGTTCTTGATTTTCGTAGATGGGTCAATACCCAATTGGTAAACATCAAAATAGCTGGTAAATGGATGGTAATCCTCTATGGTCCCATAAGTTTTAACCTATGGACCTATTGTATAAGTATATTATAACCATATTTAGGGGAATAACATGGAATAACCATCCATTAACCAACTATTTTAGGGTACCAAAGGAATGGGGTCCCAAAGGTTTTGACCCACTGGGTGCCAGGCATTTCTTGCATGGGACTTTCGCGATACTGCTGATGCCGTGCCTGGGATTTTCGGCCAAAGATTGGGAAAACTATGGTGAATTCATAGGAACAGATTGGTTCAAATCCATTTCCATTCCCCAATTTTTTTCGATTCAATCAGCTGGAAAATCCATTTTAATCCTTTCGAAACTTGTTTTTTTTCCATTTTTCTTGGCTTTTCACCAGCGTTTTCTACCCAAAATTCCCCCGTGCTTCGTTGATTTCACCGGTGGCCCCGGTGGCACCTGCGCCTTGGCCTTGGAACAGGGTCTGAGGCGCGTCAGGACCAGGCCCAAGAACTCCGGAGCCTTGGACGCCATGAGCCATTCCAGGTATGGGGGTTAATCCATATATATATATATAGTATATGTATATATAGCATATGTATGTATGTATATA